TCTTTGTTCTAATTTACCCTTGTGGTTTTATTTTTTAGGAAAGAGTCGAGGAACTAAAAGAAGACCCTATTATTCTTTTCCATAATCTTATGTCTTCTGGTATTAAAATGCACTAAGAAAGAGGAATAGTGGTACATTTCTGAAATTCTAGCACTGGGAGGGCTGGAGACTAGAGTATCAGTTTGAAACTAGCCTAGTCTATATGTGATTCTGGATTAAAAAAAAACAAAAAACAAAAAAACAAAAACAAAAAAACCCACTAACACCAAATGTTCATAATTTTCATCTAGTAGGTCTTTCTTTCAAAACTTCAGAAAAAAAGGTAAAATATAATTGCTACAATAATTTGATTTTCTATAATTTTGTCTCTATATAAATATCTTCTTATACCTTTGCTGATGCAATTGTCATAAAATGGCCTTATAAGCCTGGAATAATGAGAAGTTAAATTGAATTCAGAAAAATTATTAACAACGTATTTCTGAGGAATCAAAAATGCTTTGAAAATGCTTTGAGTTCTACTAGAACCTAAATGCAAAATTTAATGTTTACTGTAACATGGCAATTGTTTACAAGGTGGTAAACTAGTTAACTAAAATTTAGTATTAGAAATTTCTATAGTCTGTGTTTCCTAGAACTATTGAAGCGATAATTTTGGGAGACTATTTTTATCTCTAGTTGTGTGTATCTGTATGACTGTGTGTGGGTATGTGCCTATGTAAGAGCCTGATGAAAGCAGAGGGTAGAGTTATAGGCAGATGGTTTAGTGTCAGTGCATCAGTAAAGATCAAGATAACTTTGAGAAATCAGAATATTTCAGACAAGTGTGCAAGTTAGATGTTCTGTGCACTATGCTCCCATCCTCACTTGGCCCAGCATTAAGGCTATATGAAAACATGTCCCTGCCTCACCTTCTCTGTTTATGTCATTGGCGGAGTCCCAAAGGAACGTTACTTACTAGCCATGCTGTCCTGTGTGTCCTGTTCAGTTTCATAGCTGCTAGGACAAAGGACTTGCTCACACCAGTGCAAGAAAGAAGAAGCAGAGATAGGAAGCAGCAACTCATGGGTAGGAATTGCCAGACATGAGTTCATGAAAATGAAGACTGGAAGTGAGGCCATGGCAATCTCTTAGCTCATGTCTTTCTCTTAGCCACAGTGGCTTCCGCCCTGGGCCAACTTCCTTTCCTTGTCCATTGTTTTAGATCTTGGATTGCCCCCACTTACATAAGACTTCTCATTCTCTCCTCATTGCATTACGGCATCTACCGTAGCATCTCTACCACTTTTTCAACATCCCTACTATAACATCCTGAATGAGGAACTTGGTGGACCAGGATGTATTGTTAAGCCCTGCCATCTATGTCATAAGTGCAATAGGTCATTGTTGGGTGAAGACAGATGTAGGCCAGACATATGTGACTAGGCAGATGAGTAGTGATTGTCTGCTCTCTGTTTCTTTTAGTTAGTGGCTATCCCTTAGCTATTGTTACCTTTCTAAAACTTAAACCTCCTCTGGGTCCTGTGCTACTTTATTCTCACTTTCATACCGTCTGATTGTGCTTTGCCCCGTGCTTTTCAATGCCTCCTTCTTTTTCGAATTCCCCTATCTCCTTGTATACTTTCTTCTTTTTCTAAACCATAGGCTTCTACACATTTGAATAGAACCCTGCGCCAGGACTTCTCAACCTAGGATGCTAGGAGCCTCTTCCCGCCATAGCCTAATGGCCTTAGAGGTGGAACATGATTGAAGAAAAACAAAAAAAATCACATCTTTGTACTGTCATTGAATGCTAACTAAAAGACACCAGTCTCTTGTCTTAGACATCTGAGCAGTCTATAGTAGCAACGCTCTCGGTTTGCCATCAGTGCAAGTCACAATATTCTCAATTTTCAGATTGTTGTAAATGTCTTCAAAATTTTCCTCATTATTACTTCAAACCTGTGGAGGCTATCTGATCTGGCAGTAGAACTTTTCCCTGAATGCAGTTAGAAGGAAGCACACTCCTATACCAATATGTGCTTAAGATTTTGATAACTTTTTGTGATAGTAACTCTTCCTTTGTAGTCTGATTTTGATTTCTGATACGCCATTAAGAACATTTCTTTCTGAGAAAGGATCCTTTGACTTCATTGTAGTGTTAAAGGGCCCCTGGTTTTCTCCATGAAATGCTAAGGATCTTGGCAGACGTGTAGCATGATTTCTGGGGGAGAGCAAGCCCAATGTGACAAGGCAGCAACTTTGACCCACTAGTCTTATCATCAAGCTTTACCTTCCTTCTCTATCTATAGATCAAAATCTAAGTAGCTTCACGGCACCTCTCCAGTCTGTTTTCCAATTTTGGGTCTCCACTTTCCTCTCTTGATTCCTGGATTGAGAATATATTTTGTGTTGCATATAATCTCTAGAAATCATTTTTTTAACCAAGGTGAAAAAAAAAGGAGTTATTATCACAAAAGTCTTCAAATTGTCCTTGGAATGTTACAGATTAAGTATGAAATTGTTTGGGTTCTTGCTCTTGTGTAAAACGAAAGTCACTGTGAAGGCATAAGCAAGTCAGAGAATTTATGATATTGAGACAGGTGTGACATCACCCTCCAGTCAGTGATAGCAGAACAGGTTAAACCAGAAATAGATTGGCAAGCTTTCTCTGTAAAAGGCCAGTAGTGACAGCATCAGACCAGGAGGACCATGGAGTCTTTTGTATTCTTCCATAAAATACGTGGAATGTGAGCCAATGAAACTGTGTTTGTAAAATGGACAGATGGTCAATTTGACAGGTTTGTAGGTTGAAGACCCCCTAACTTACAGCAAGGCCAGGGTCGTTTTCTGAAGCATCTGTCACTGTCCATCTGCTTTTCTCTCCCATTCTTACTGGCTTGCTCCTTTAGCGTCTCTGGCTCTTAGGAACCAGATAACCAGACATGGCTTCAGTTACAGCTAGCACTGCAAACATCTACCAAAGGCTCATACACTGAATGATTGGTTTCCAGTCTGAGAGGCGCTAGGGGGACATGATGGGACTTTCAGGGGGTGAGGCCTAATGGAGGGAAGCTAAGCCATGATAGGCATGCTGAGTTCCAGCCCCCTTTCTCTTCCTTTGCTTTCTGGGGCCATGAAGTGAGTGGCTCACCTTCTCGGGTTTTGGTCTTCCAGGTGGTGGGATAACAGCCTGTGCTACCACACCTGCTGACCTTTCTTTCCATGTGATTTGTCACAGCCACAGGAAGATGACTAACACAACCCCTCAGAGCTGTGAGTTCTATGGCTCAACTTCATGCTGCCGGACTTCCCCAGTCCCAATTCCAGGATGTGCTGACTGAGGTAATGATGTAGGCATTTTTTTTTTAATCTATTTTGCTCAGAATGGTTCTGAGTTCATTTGTTAAGCTTTTTTTCTTCATTGCTACATTAATTCCACACTGCAGGAAATGGTGCCTTTTGTAAAGACCTATGCTTATGCAGGAAATGTGTATCTACTTCTATGAAAATTATTTCATGTTTTATAAGCATGCATTTTCATGTTTGATTTAATAGCAAAGTTAAAGAACATTTACAGAGTGTTAAAACCTACAGCATAACTTATATATTAAGTTTTTGGCATTAAAGAGAAATAGAGTCCCATCAGCATTGTATGTTCTTTACTCCACCAAATTTAAAAAGGTCTATGACAAAAGTGCATTAAAATAAGCCCTAGAAGGGCCAATGGGATGATTTAATGGGTGAAGACACTTGCTACTGATCCTGGATCATATGGTGGAAGGAGAGACTCCCACAATTGTCCTCTGGCCTCCACCAGTGTGCTGTGCCAAATGGATGTGCACACACACACACACACAAAATAAATAAATAAATGTAAATAAGATTGTTTAAAACATTAGCAACAAGAAAGGGTAGAAACTCAAAGTATCAATAAACTTCAAAATAAAAGTCCTTTAAGGAACTATTTGTGCCAGAAACTTGGAAACGAGGGAGACTTTTATCACACGATTTCCTTCTCTCTAGAATTAATTAGCAGCATACCCAGAACTCTGCTAAAGTCCCCTGTTGAAAGGAAGAAAGTAAATACAGTGCTGGGAGGAAAACTGGTTCACTTCCACAAAACTGAGCGGCTTGGGCATTAGCCAAGTAAAAAAAAAAAACATGCTGGAGAACTATTCGTAACCTATTAGTCACTACAAGAAAGCTTTCCCTTTAATGGTATCCTCCTGGGATACCGCGCTGGAATGCACAGCGATTTTGCAAAAGGCACAGATTTGGCTCAACTGTAAATATCAGTAGGTACACAGAGGCAAAGCCATTGTGCAGGGTAGGGGGTGGGGTGGGTGGCTTCTGATTCCCAGTGACGATAGGGGGGATTTTCATTTCTCTCAGTACATTTTTTTTTCTACTACAATTACAGTTTAGCTAAGAAAAAATAAAATACCGGTCATGTACTCATCTGGGTTTCCAGTTTTCAGTGTCTTTAGAATAAAGATGAAAGTCTCTTTCATTTACCTAAGAGATTCCCTTTGCAAATTGGGCTTGGTGATTCTTGTAATCCCAGTACTAGGGAGGCTGACGAAGGAGGATAGTGAGTTTTGGGCTAGCCTGGGCTACACAATAAAACACTTTCATGAGAAAAATATTTCGTTTCTACAGTTTCCAGGACTGCAGAAAATAAACAAAAACCAGCTCAACTCACTGCCACCACCTGTCAGAACCCTGAACCAGCCCAGGTCTGTAGAGCAAGGCCCCTTTCAAACAGTGGATCTCAGCAGCTCTGAGGTGGTTTCTGGCTGAGGATGCTCCACCCATCTCCACCGCATACAAAGCCCAAGCTCGGACTCTGAACCCAGCCCTTTGTCTAGTTTGCTTTTCCCTTGTACTCTGGGTCCTTCCTAAACCACCTGTGTGTACGATTAATTAACAGAAGGGCTGGAGGGAGCACACGCTGGGAGTCGTGGAAACTACAACTCCCATCAGCCCCACGGCCTCCCGGCCCCACCCCGCCTCCCGCTTAGCCCGCGGCGGAGGCGCTGGGCTTTCATCCGCGGAGCGGCGGGAGCTGGACGTGTCGCCGCGGTCCTCTCGGACGACCCCGGGATCGGCAGCAGCCTCAGCCGCCTTCAGCTTCTGCGTCCGCCTCAGCGGCGTTTCCCAGTGCAGCGAGAGGATGGTGGTCCGCGTGTTCGTCGCCTCGTCCTCGGGCTTCGTGGCGGTGAGCGGGGCGGGATCGCGGCAGACGCGCGGCGCGTGCGCCCGTGGGAGACGCGCGGGCAGGTGACCGCCAGGCTCGGACCCCGTGGATGCGCAGGGGTCGCACTCGAGCGCTGGCAGCTAGCGAGGGGAACCGGGGAGCCAGTCCCCTGCCGCAGCTGCCGGCGCCAGGGGCCCCTTTCCTGAGTTTATAGGTTCCCGACTTGGAACACTGTCGGCTTATGTTTTTTATGGGAGTTTAGACTACTTTGATTTGCTGACCTGGCGTCTGAAAGAAACAGGTTTAAAAGAATTGCTCTCCACTGTCTCGTCCCCAGCAAGTCCATTTCTTTAGTTCTACACCTGAGCAAAGAGAATAGTAAAGCACTCTTGTCCTGTTAGATCGGAGTCATTTGTTTGCATTGTCGCTTTTTAGCCTAGGGTGTTATAAATACTTTTACATTTGTAAGTAAACCTGGGTGCATGAGCCCCTTCCCCGCTCCCCCAGCGCTGTGGTAAGTTTCATTTTAGGAATCTATAAATTGTGCTTTCTGTTTTTAGCTATTCTGTTTGTAGAATGTTGACTTCTTTTAGGGAGTTTTTTTTAATTAAAGAAATTAAATAACTAGAGATGTTATACTTTAAGGAAAAATGCACATATATGCTGGACAGTCCACTGACTGTGATGCACGTAATGCAGGTGTTCGATGTGATTATTGAGGCTTGATGTCCTTAGTTTAGAGTTAGACTATGGCTCTAAAAGTCTGCTCTGTGAGATACTTAATCAGATATAGAAGAAAGTGCAAGAATGATTGTTTCAAGTTTAGTCTGGCTGGTTGCCTGCCTGGTAGGCAGATTGATTGTCCTAGAATATAAATGGGTGGGGTAGAGATGGAATAAAATACTGTTGAACACTTCCTGTAAAACCACTGAAACTTTTAATTTAAAATCCCCCCTTTTTACTACAAGGACCCCCATTTTCACTAGACACAGTAGATGGGGGAAATGCTAGCTTACCTGTATATGCAGGCTGTATGCTGTGTTTCTAAAACTCCTCACATTTCCAGTTATTTTTTTCCGTTGCTTAGTCATAGGTGACCCTGACAGGTTTTTTTTTTTTTTTTTTTTTCTGGGCTAAAACTGAGCCTTGTGAAACATGTACCGTTTTCCAGGTAGATTTATTTAAATGTATTCCTGACTGTAGAGCTTTTGGCCTTACCCTGAACTTAACCTGCTTCAGGAATTATTTTAAAAGCACTTTATCAAGTGTGGAAGGGCGGTACTGTAGTGTTAATTTGCGGTTGTGTCGGGAAAGTCACCTGTCTTACCCATCCTGTATCTAGACCCAATCTGCATCCTGTATCCTGGTTTCATGAATTCCATTAACACACAAGTATTTATTGCCTGCCTGCTATGTGACTTAAGTTTTAGATTTAATGTTTTGCACATGGAACGATGAGGAAAGGAGTTTTAGTGCCCTGACTAGTGTTGTGGGGGCCAGGGGTGCTCTGGCTCTGCCCAAGTTCCTCTCCTGTACCATGGAGGATGTTGAGGCACTCACAAATGTACTGCACTTTAAAAATGACTTGGTTCTGTCAGCTGAGTAAATGTGGGGAATGCTGCTGACAGCTTACTTCATTTGAACAGTATGCTGGCTACCTTCAAAGGGGGAGGTTTACCCACTTTTTTTTTTTTTTTAACTGTGTCTTTGATCCCCGTGGTCTGATGTGGTTTCATTTGATTGGGAGGTTACATCCAGTCACCACACAGACACAGCCTGTAAACACTGACTACTCATTTCAGTCTGCTTTTTGAAAACGTATTCTTTTCAGGTCTCAGAAATGCTTGTGGAGTCTCCTCATTTTGTAATATTATCTCCTACTTCATGTGCAGTTTTTCTTTGATATTGGTATTGTAGGTTATATAAAGTTGATGCTTAGCTGCAAGGATATTGATTTGGCCATAATGAAGGTGTGTAGGTGAACTCTTGGTTGGGGAGGCTAGTGGTACTCACAACATTACACTATGTTAAGGTTTTGTGGGAATGCTGAGTTTTCCTTCTAGCAGTGTCGGGTTAACTGTTGGCAGTATTTTATTCTGTATCTGCCTGTGACCAGCAAATATATGGAAGAACAAACAGTGTTATTCCCGAGTCAGTTTGGTTTTAACCATCATGTATTAAACCATAAAGGAAGGGATGTGACCAGAGTAAGTCCAGGTGGCAGCACATTTAAGCATACTCTTCAGAAAAAAATCTTCCTATCTCCTGATTCCCTTGAGTGGTGGAGCTTCAGCCGTACAAATGACTAACATGAAAAGGGGTGGGTGCCTGCTCATCTTATAAACAGCTCCAGGAGAGGCTTGCTGTAACTAGGAAATAAAAATTATACTGCATTATGCCATCCATGTTACTGTTAGAGTGAGGGTATTTTATTTAGCTCTAAGAAAATGACTATAGAAAGGTCATTTAAAATTTTAATTTATTATGCCTGTGTACCCGACAGCAGAGGCCTAGATAACCTTTGTCTGGGAAATGTGTTAATGTGACTTTAATTTTAAAAGGTTTTTGTTCATTGATGTATTTGACAGAATTTGCTTTAGTCTGCCTGTACCCTGCCCAACTTTGTCCTTGGTCTTACAGAGAAGCCTAGGAGAATACAGGGTGTGGTCTCTTCTTGAGGTGAGGACATCTGTCTGCTAGGAAAGGTAGTAAAACCTTCAGTAATAACCTGCAGCTCAAGGACATGCCTCCTATGGGAACACTTACCAGGCAGAAATACTACAGGCATCAGAGGGACGCCATGCCAGATGTAAGATACGGAAGGAATATGCTGGAGTTATAAAATAGGCACATGGGGGCAACCAGCAGGGAGAGGAGTGTGGGAAAGCGTTCCTGAGCCCATTTTTAAAGGCTGGGTGTGAGGTGCTTGGGGAGGAGAGGTGAGCAGCAGATGCCGCTGTGAACCTCTTTGGGTGACAAGGTGGACTCTTCAAGTCCCCAAAGGAACCCTGTGAATTCAGACTCCACCCGTGCTCTGCATCTTGAAGATGTTTTCAGTGTCTATGGCTTGTCGGCTGCTCTGGGCCTTTTGTCCTTCAGGTAGCAGGGTACTGTCCTTCAGGTCTGAGATTTTAGAAGACTCCCTGCCTGCCTGCCTTGGACTAAAATGTATCAGAAAGGGAATAAAGTCTTCATTGAGGCAAGAGCTGTGCTTTGGCGTGGATATATCCTTTACCATTCATTAAAGTTTTGTGGTTCATTTGGGAGTCAGAGGGGAACCTAAAAGTATGTAAGTGAAGTCCAAGCACACAGTTTCACAGAGGGGAACTTGGGCATAGAGGTGAAGTGATTGGACCCAGTGTCATCCATGTAGTCGGTGCACAGTGAGATGGAATTGAAAGCCACATTCCTGCATCGATTGATTGATACATGTGCTTATTTTAAACGTTGAAAAGCAAATATCAGGCCCTTTCCCCCTCCTGTGTATCTATTTGTACGTGTGTGTCGTATCTGTATGTGTGTACATGTGTGCTGGGTGTGTATGTATGTAGATGTGTGCTGTATGTGTTTGTATGTATGTGTATGTGTGTATGCATGTGTGTGCTTCGTGTGTGGGTATGTGTGTGCTGTATGAATATGTGTGTATGTGCTCATGGGCCTGCAGAGGCCAGAGGAGGGCATCAGATGTCCTGCTCTGTCATTCTCCACCTTATTTCTTTGGATCAGGGTCTTTCATTGACCTTGGAGTTAGGCTGGTGACCAGTAACCCTCCTATCTCTGCTGCTCATAGCACTGGGATTACATGTGTGTTCGAGTCTTCCCCTGGCTCTTTAGGTAGGTATTGAAATTCAAACCCAGGTCCTCATGCTTGTACAGCAAACACTCTATTCCACTGAGCCCTAGTGCCGAGTTAGGTGGTGGTAGGTGCTACAGCTATGATGGTCAGGAAAACAGACATGGCCCAAATAATTGCTGTCTTCATCAAGCTTGGAGGCTTAGCCTGCAGACCATGCGGTCAAGGAGGACTGATGGTGGCTTGTTGCTAGATATTTGATTACACCATGTAAAGATATGTTACTGTGACTGATTTAATAAAAAGGTAAATGGCCAGTAGCTAGGCGGGAGGTATGGGCAGGACTTCTGGACAGAGAAAGCTCTGGGAAGGAGAAAGGAGAGTCACCAGCCAGATGCAGAGGAAGCAGGACATGCAGGAGGAGAGGTAAAAGCCATGAGCCACGTGGCAGCTCATAGATTAATATAAACAGGTTAATTTAAGTTATAAAAGCTGGTTAGAAACAAGCCTAAGCTAAGGCTAGCGTTACAGTGAGTGGCTTGAGGATTGCTTTCATGAACCTGGGTGAAATGGGTTAGATGATACTGGTTTTATACATCCTGAATGTTGGACAGCCACCATCTGGTAACAAAGGAGATGCCGACATTGGAAGGAAAGCTGGGAAGTGGAGAGCTCGCTGTGGCTTGCACAGTGTATTAAGGTGAGGGTGGGTGCGAAGGGAGAAGACAGACAAACACTGCTCTCAGATGCATTCATTGCTCTTTGCAGCTAGCTGTGCAGGGTGTCCTTGCTGCTGTGCACAACTGGTTATTATTTTAAGCATGCAATTACCAGTTCAAGCTGTTGCTTCCCTGTAGAGTGTACTCAGTGAGGCTGTTCTGTAAGAAAGCCTTAGGAGAGAGTTTGAAAGCAGCAGAGTCAGGAGGTGAGCATAGGCAGTAACAGGACTCAGTGCTAAGTCGCTTGACTCTGACAGGAGGGAGCAGATGCTTGGGCTCTTGGGGATCTTTATTTATCTTCACTGTCCTCTGACAAGATAGTTATTGCCATACCATAGGTGAAGAGGCTGAAGAGAACTGACTCAAGCCAGATCATGTTCAGTTGGTACTCTGACCTGGAGTCAAGCCCTAGATGACAGCTGGCTCCTAAGCTTCTAGAGTCGCCCTTTGGTGTCTGTCCTCAGGTACGGCGGCGTATGTGCATCAGGGATGCTGACATCCTGCAGTTT